GCTTTGAAAGTAAAGATGGCGATCAAAGACTGGACAGTATTAGGTGACTACCTCTATAAGCCTGTGGAGAGGTCAGTGCGGTCTACGGTTACAACACTTGCTGGAAGGGCAAGATGAGCGACAGTTCTGAAAAATCCCTGTGAAGTGCAAACTAAGGAAGCATCTTATGCAAAGGCTATCTGAAGCAATCTAAGTGCTCAGAAATAGGAATTAAAAATGGGTAATATCATTCCAGAAGTGGTGGTGCACAGGCCTTAAATCCCAGAACCTGGGAGGAAGAGGCAGGTGGATCTATCTGAGTTCAGGCCAGCCTGGTCTACAAAGTGAGTTCCAGGACAGCCAAGGCTACACAAATAAACCCTGTCTCTAAGAAAAAAAAAAAAGGTAATCTTGTAAATCGGTTAGAATTACTATTAGAGTTACAATAGAAAAATGAATAAATAATCTAGTCTCTCACCTCATTTTACAAGTAATTAGACATAAAGCGTTAAGTAGTTTGTCTAAGATTAATAAACAGTTAACTCCTAAAGATGTTTTTCTGTACAGCACTAAACACCCAACTATAACCTGGCTTGTCTCCACAGTCCCAGTGCCGCACTCTGACCAGGTTTGTCTTGCAGTAGTAGATAGCACACTATCACCAGGTTTGTCTCTGCACTAGTAAATGCCCCACTCTGACCAGGTTAGAGTCCTAGACACCCCTTATGACTTCCCTTAGGGACAGTATGAGCTTTAACAGCACTGGACTATTTCATTACAGTATGAGCTTTAACAGCACTGGACTATTTCATTACAGTATGAGCTTTAACAGCACTGGACTATTTCACTAGACTGTCTCAAATCACCTTTCTTTATTCTTATACATCTGAAGGCCCTGTCTCACTTTTGTTGGTCAGTGGTTCTTTTCCGTTGAACTTTAAAAGCAGGGTCCTTAGACTAGGATTGTATTTCAGTGGTAGAGTGTATGCTTAGCATGCATATGGCCAAAGGCCAAAAACAATTTTTTCCTGAGATAGTTTCAACACACTCCTATATTTATATAATTGTGTATACTAGTCCCCTATCTTGAAGATCTAAATATCAATTATTATCTATCTACCTACATACCTATCTATAGATCTATCATCCACCCACAGATCATCCACCCATCAATCATTTATCTGTCATCTATTATCTGTATCTATCATCTACCTATAGATCTATCATCTATATATCAATCACCTATCGATCTATCATCTATATATATCAATCATCTATCGATCTATCATCTATGTATGTATCAATCATTTATCGATCCATCGATCTACCATCTATTGATCTATTTATCTTTTTTCCTCACAGAAACCACACTGACACTAAGGTTTCCCAATATATTCTTTTCTTCTTTTACTTCTTTATGTTTCAGGGTTGAAGCTGAGGATCATCCAGTTGTCTAATCCAGGAATTATGGAGTCTTTTTTTTAAATCGTTCCTTTCATACTTATTACTCTAAAAAATGCCTTTTGAACACATGATTCCCCTGTCATTTGGCTGGGACAGCCATGGCCCCAACCTTCATTACCATTCCCCAGACTTCTATGTTTCCTTTCAGATGGAACCTCCCCAAATCTCTTCCTTAATCAATTTTCAGAATACTCGTCTCCTAAAAATAAACTTTGACCCTGTCCTAAGCTCAACTGACACCTGACTTGCAGTGCCTGAAGAATTTAACTTTCTCAGTAAATGGCCAGGCAGGGAATAGTTCAGGCTTTAGATCTCATTCAGATCAGTTACCACAGTCATCAATCACACACAGGACAACTGTCGCTAGGACCCACAAAAGTTCATTTACAAATGATAAGGTATGATAAAATATGAATTTTACTTACCCCAATTATTAACACAGTATAAAACTATCTTTTCATGCATGGATTATACAAAAACAGACAGCAAGCTAGATGTGGCCCATGAGATTTAGATGCTGACCTTGACCTAACCAGGTGTCTTTCCAACCTCACTGTTCATGATGCTGCATAAGGATCCTAATTCAGAATGCCCACCATCCATTGTGTTGACAAGCAAGCTTAGTGTATCCAGAGCTGCTAGTCCTCTGAGAACCACCAGGCTCCACAGCACTTCCGGTCTCTTTTTGAGAACCTTTCTAGTCTTAGCTCCTACCTTTTTTTTTTATGTTTTCTCCTGTATTTATATCTTTGTATATACCAATACCTTACCAAGAGTATCTATCCTATCTTTTTCCATTGTGGAACTCTTCGCATGAACTTATTTATGCTAAGACACCCCCCTAGCCATATCAACTTTTCTCATTGTTTTTGCCTGCAATGCAGAACTAGGCCATTCTCCTTTCTATGTATTTCTCCAGTAGCCCTTACTGCCAGCACTGCATTGCTAAAACACTCTACTGTAATTCCACAGAAGAGCTCACTCCTCCCGCTTAATGTGAGCAACTGAAGGGCAGAAACTGACTCTTATTTTCCTCTCTATGCTTAAGGGCAAGCAAATTACTTAAAACCTAGTAGGTTTTGAATAAATGATTGTGTACCTAGTAAGCATTGTACTTACCAGCTGGGTCCTTCAGTGAAGGCTAAATTTCTATTTCCCAGCTTTAATGCAAATTGAATTTAAATAAGGACAAGTATCATAGGTGATAGATGATTCTTTCAAAATATCCTACAGATTTCGACTGCTGTTTTAATTTTTTTCTGCCTATACAGATTTGACACATTATTTCACCATCATTTTGTAAGATGGCTTTCATATTTACTTTGAAAATTTGGCTAGACTGCGTCACTCAAAATGTCTGAGAGTGGATGGTCAAATGCTTACTTGCAAGCTGGGGTGAGAGCGGGTGGAGGGTGGTCCCGTACTTCAGCTGACCTACACAGAAAGATGCTGTTCCCCAGGCACATCCCGGCTATACAGAACGAATAACAAACTGCAAGTGCAAAAACTCTTAGAGACATGTCAGAAATACTCGGCCCAACAGGCACGGCTGCTTTCCAGTGTGAAGGAGGAATGTGTCTGGCTCCCTGGCGTTTTAATTGTCATTTTGAAATTTATGATTGTGGTTTTTATCAAACACGGACATAAATGAGGCATAAAAAATGCTTATAAAAAGTACTGCACTGCTTTATTTCTGTACCATGGTCTTACACACTTATAGAACGTGTGGAAGTGGAGCACAGCAGAAAAAGCTTTCTAGGGAGCCAGGCACAACCTTTTGTCTTAAGAACAAAGGAATTAGTCACCACGTGTCCATGTCAGCAGTGACTGCATCTTAATACGCTCTGCTGCAGGAACTGATCTTGTCAAGCAGTACAGACTGATACTGTAGGGATACTGTTCATGGACTCGGACTGCAGAAATGAACTCGGAACAAGACAGAATGGCAAAGGGGTAAAAGCAGCGTTAATGTTTATTTACCAGAGCTCGGTCACACCAAGACATTAAAAGCAGTCCCGTTTCTATAGCTTAGTGGTGCTTAGCACACAAATGGTTGGTTCTCAATAGAAGGCTGACAGAAAAGAGAAACTAGCAACATTATCATGATGAAGCTAAAGTTTAAATTTTGAGGATTAAATAACCACAGGAACTGGGCTAATAGTACGTTCTCAGTGTCACAGTGACGATGCTTCAAATGGACACTAAAAGAGCAGCTATTATTCTGCAATATTAAGCATTTTTCCTCACAAAAGTGTTTCATCTGTTGGGGCTTTCCCCAGGGACCATACATGTCTAAGAGCTTTCTTTTCTTTCTTCCCTGTTGCTCTCTCCTCTCTCACTGCTTAAATCAGAAGGTGTCAAGCCATTTGGAAGATTATCATAACAAAATGTTTTTTAACAAAGTTTGATTTGAACAGAACTGGAGGCATCTTAGCACTAACCCAAAACTTTGGGAGGTTCACCAACCTCTAGAATATTTTTTTCTCCAAATGCAGGCTGTTCAGTAGTGCTCTTCTCCATCTGTCATCAGACCGTGCTCAGAATTACATTGTCATATTTAATGCGAAAGGGATCAGGCCCCTTTCATAGCTTAAATTCAACATAGTACTGTGACTGGAAGGCCAGTGTTTTCCTATGTTGTAAATTAAAGCAAATAACATAAACTTATATGCGATTATAGACAAAATTCCCTCTCAAAAGCTGAGACACTCAGAGTGGAACAAACTCAGAGGATTGGTATAAAGCCTGAAAGCTGTCAGCTCTGAAGTGGTGAACTAGGTATCTACTTCTCTGTCTGGATTTTTCTTTTGGTGTATGTTAATGTATGTGCATATGTACACACATGCATGCATGTATGTTTATGTATGTGCATGTATACACACATGCATGTGTGTGTTTCTAAATCAGCAAACTCACGTGAAATGCTTGCAGCCTAGAGTCCTATTTTAATTTTGGATGAGCTATATGCTCACTTAAATGTACAACAATGACAAACACACCACAATATCTTATGATGAAAACGTTGCAATTCCAAACTTTGCTGCAGTAAAAATGGTTTATAATAATGATCTGAATGCAAACAGTCTCAACTTCATCTCTAAATTTTATACCTCGTTAGGAAACACATCCTTTATTTTTGTATCAACTCCACTGCAATCTGCTTTTAGCCTATCTGTTCCTTTTGTCTCTCACTACTGATAGAATCTGGTTATTTTCATAAATACTTTCCTCATAGTCTTCATTTCAACATTTTTATTAGATATACAATTAATAGGAGAAGTGGCGGTGATAGGAATATGTCATCGTGCTTACACTGATAACGAATCACTGAAATATTTGAGTACTGTAGACAAACGGTTTTGTAATATACCAGTGAGTCCCTGCCACACTCATCACTCACATGTCTGGGTGTTTTGCTTGCCACATACCCACTTTCTGTAATATGCCTGAAAGCTGTGTGTGAATTGAGTGACTAAGACTAGCAACTGTTTGGAAGCCTGTGGCAGAAAGCAGCGGGATGCGCTGGGCGCTGAGTGTGTGATGGGATTAGGGCGTACCTGGTGAGGTGCAGTTGGCGCTCAGACTCGCCCAGCAGCTCTGTTACTTGCAGGCACTCCTGTCTGGCCCGAGCCGCCTTCTGCTGCTCCTGCTCCACGTGCTGCTTGCTGTCGCTCAGCTCTCCTCTCAGTTTCTCTATTTCCTTAGGCAGACAGAAGGAGAAAAGTCCGCATCAGATAGAGACATGTGAATCCAACATCAGTCCACTTTTATTCCTTCCATCAGTCTTAATAACGTGGAACCTCATTGGAAAATTTACACCTGCTTCAGTTCCATGACAATGGGAATTAGTACATCCACAAATGCACATCCATGAAGTAGCTCTGGCTTGTGAGACGAAGTCTGATTTTAAACGAGAAACTACCGAATGTGACTACTGCAAATGACTGATAATCTACTTTCATGCAAAGGCTTGTGTCCTTCAAAGAGTAACCCAAGCTAACAGGCACCACCTTTGAAATGTAACATTGTCTGAGATCTCATCAGATACAGGCAGTGTTGCTATCAAATATGCAACTGCTTACGTAAAATACAGATTTACAGTTTTACTTGGATGTCATGAACACCAAATTACAGGTTAAAGCTGTTTTTAGGCAAATGTGAAGTGTTAACAGTATTATTATTTGTCAGCAATGGAGGAACAGAGTCAGCATGAGGGCCTTCATCCTGAGGATGTGAGCTGCCTGAGCTAGCTAGAGCCTGTGCTGACAGGTGGGCAGCGCGCTCTGACATTGCTGAGCTTGGATACATACATGTATGAACATGCACATAGCTTATTATTTCATTTGAGGAAGAAATCCTTATCTTACTGATACTCAAATATTTCAAAACAAAAAACTTATACTGTACGTATTTTGGATAGTTTGTACATTAAAGTAAAAATATTCATCACAGAACGCCTATGACATTAAGCAAATCAAAAGGAGCTGGACATAAAAAAGTAGACTATAAAAACATGAACAACAAAAATGTTCAGGAATATTTTCATCTTCATACATAATAAGTGAGAAGTTTACTACACAAAATGCAATGTGTTTTCACGTCTGACCAGACCATTTTAGACACAGTATTTATACATACTTTAAAATGTTCTTATGTCATTTCTCAATATTCTGAATGACCTCCAACTACATTCCATATATCAACTAAGATAAAGCAATGACTCATTTTTCTTATATTTATAATGCTATAATTCAGTTTATACCATCAAAACTGTGTATTGCCAACAATATGAAAAGTCACTTGCTATGAGTTCTCAAATATTTTATTTTTGAAAATCCACGTACTTATAGATATATTACTTTCATTCACAGGAGGTTTCTATATCTTTCAGACTGAAATACCAAATAAAACTGATTTATTTCAAATATTTTAATATTTGTTATATTTCATTGTAAAACTGCAAGGATGTTAGTATAACCTTAACAATGAAATATAACTAAAGATGTAAAACATAATAGAAAAGTCAGTAAGTTTTATTTGCCTAGAATTTATGAAATTAAGAGGAAGGAAGTCTAGAGGTGAAGTTATGTGTTGGGATTATAACTTTAAAACGTCATTCCATGTTTCTTTTACATCATGCTATTTATAAAAATCTATGCTTAATATGACCAATCCAGAGAATCCCCATCTTTTTTTGATTTAGCAGGTAACAATTCATGGGACAGATGAGACACACACCCACAAAGACAATCAAAATACAAAGTACACAAAAAGCAGCAAATGAATTAGAGAGACAGTGCATGCCTCAAAAGCATGGGCAGATATTCATGCACAAGAAACGTAGAGACAATGTAAAGCCACAAAAGACCCATAGGTATGAGGTGGCATTAACACCATTAGAGACTATGAAGTGTAGGTTGTATTTTTCTTATGAATGGTAGGAGACAATAGCTTAAACAGATATGCAATGTGAGAAGCTTATTTTTAAAAACTGGATCAATGTGTACGATCGATTTTAGGCAGCAAGAAATGACAGATGGGAAACCCTGAACAGATAGCAGCAATATTCCAGACAGGGTAGAGAAACTTAAATCAGAAATATATATTTAAAAAATAGCGATTTAAAAAAAAGAGATGTATCTGGCTGGGGACATATCTCAGTGAGTGAAGTATTGGTGGTGGAAGGACCTGAGTCCCGGATGCCTGAACCCCACAGAAAAGCCAGGCTGGGGTGCTGCCCTGCAACCTCAAAGCTTGAAGGACAAAGAATTCCAGGAGCTTGCTAGTCAGCCAGCCTAATCCATTCGACAAGCACCAGGTGTAGTGTGGGACCCTGTTTCAAATTATAAGATGGGGAGCTATAGAGAAAAACATCTGACCTCTACCCCTGACCTACACACACACACACACACACACACACACACACACACACACACACACACACACGAGCCAGAAAGAGACAGAGAGATAAAATGACTAAACATATACACTCATTAGGAGGACAGAAAGAAAACAAAATTCAAACTTCCTTAAAAAACAGATTCAATTTTTGTAAGCATTATTCAATAACAACACATGTACTACTTTTTATACCATTTTAAGTTTACAGCAGCTGTTTTCATACCCTCACATAACAAAGCAGCTGCACTAAAAGTCAGTCAAAACTACAGGCAAAAACATTCAAGAACCCACACTAATCAGAGCTCAGGGCTTTGCACCTCTGTGACTTTGGACAAGTCACTCTACTCTCAGACACTCTCTTCCAGCTAAAATCAGTGGTGACTGGATCTGCCTCCAAAGACTGTGGTGAAGACCAGAGAGAAGGATCAGGAAGGGGCAACCTGGCAGAGGAAACATGGCTGTCCCTAAGCATCCCTGATTGGGGACTGAGGGTACCGCTCAAAGTGCAGCACCCACCTAGGACATGTGAAGTCCTGAGTTCTAGTCCCAGCACCACCCAGCACCAGAGCAATTTAATCCAATAAACCTCCCCCTCCTCTATAAAAGCATAGTCTTGATATAAACTGAATTAAATTTTATCTACTCTAATTTCAAAATACAAAGTTCCTTTTTGAACGGTGGCCTGCTTCTGATAATGTGTGCCAACAAAGGAGCTCAGTGGGACAGATAATCAAAACCAACAAATAATCTACCAGCTGGATGGAGGTTCAACACTTAGCTCCCCGAGTCAGGAAAACCTGCCATGGCACCAACTCCAGCAGTTAGGAGAGAAATTTCTTGCCAGAAATGCCATGTTCCCACTGGCAGAATAACCCTGTGCCTCACCCAACTGGGTCAGGGCTGCTTCCTGGCTGCAGATTAGTGGCTCAGGGACGGAAGACCGACAATGGTCATAGGCCAAATGTACATTCCGCTCAAAGTACACTATTAACCTGATGTCTACAATGCAGTCTGACACAGCCATCTTTTGGCCAGCTGGGTGACAGGAGGGCTACATAGCTTTACACTTCACCAAAAGACATACCTCAAATCATAACCACAAGAGCTGGACGTGCATTTCACTGGTACAATACTTGCCTAGCATGTACACACCCTGAGACACTATCCTCAGAAACAAAACCATAAAATCAAAACAAAATCATGAATGTGGTCACCAGAATGACAAAAAGTACAAGCCAATATGAATGGTTACTTTGAACCTCTGGCCGTATAAGTCATAGGCCGAGGGGAGAACTTATGTCCATTTAGCAGAATAACAATGATAAGTAGTAAAACTACTCCTAATGATTATTGCTGTACCCAGAGATTAGAGAATTTATCAAACCTCATTAGGGAATCTTCATGCAGCAAATGGCAGTTAACACAGAGACCCACAACCAGCTAACGTGCAAGGAAGAGACCATGTAGTGCTCATCTGTGAATGATACATCTGTATTACAATTTTTTCTTAATCATATATATAAGTATATATATCTATATAACTTTGCTTTTATTGTTCATTAAATTTTCTTATCAAAATAACCACCTAATCTAAGTCAAAGAGTATCCAATCATTCATTATCTTCATCTCTTCTGATACTTATCTTCATTTTTTAAAAAGGATTTTTAGTGTATGAGTATTCTACATGCATGTATGTATATGTACCATGTGAGTGCCCAGTGCTTGCAGAGGCCAGAAGAGGACATCCGATTCCCTAGAACTGGAGTTGCATGTGGCTGCTGGGAAATGAACTCGGGTCCTCTGCAAGAGCAACAAGTGCTCTTAACCACTCAGTCATCTCTATAGCTCCTATTTTTGTACTTTAAATGACATACCTACATTAATATTGCTTGGTTTGTCATACAAGACATTAGCTATCATCTTTGCTAGGGTACATGGTGGCATGTATTTACAGTCCAAGCTTCTTAGAAAGCTGAGACAGGAGGACTACTCGAATGTAGGAGTTCTATGAAAGCCTACAAGATCCAAATCATGACCTCAGATACATTTAGTTACCATACAGTGGTTCATTTACATTATAATGGAAAGTTTTCTCTCTACTGAGACAAGCACTATTTTTTGAGTTAATTTTTTTCAACAGTGTTTTATTATTTAGGGGGTAAAAGCTTAGCACTACTATAAGCGGGGCACTGTTTGCTTGCTTTGAGCTGGGGTGGAGTCTTGCTGTGTTTTGGAGGCTGGTCTCAAACTTCTGGATCCAAGTGATTCTCCCTATCTCAGATGTTTAATAGCATGGCTACAGGCATATGTATTCTCCCTGGTTGCCCACTTAAAAAATATATGTAACTGACATTCATCCACAATTATTCAAAACTAACTCTCAAGTAGTCACATTTTCAAATACTGAAATATCAAAGTAATTTTTCTTTACTTCTGACCCTTTTGATCTGTCTTGCATCAACTCTTTATATCTTCCCTAAGGCAGCTTAAGAGTTCCTTGTTGGTCAGGCACAGTGGTATTTGTGTTTAATCTGTCTCGGCCGAGACAGGCAGATGTCTGTAAACGAAAGACCAGCGTGGAATCTATAACTAGGTTCAAGGACATCCAGGGCTACCTAGTGAGACCCTGCTCCACTCCCCCAAATAGAGTTCCTACTTTTCTGGGTCCCAAGTGGCTCTATATCAAAGGAGTTTTCATAAGAAAGGAAGCCTCAAACCACAATTGAATATATATATGTGTGTGTGTGTATACACTATTACTTTATAGATAAACTCAACAGTTTGTATATGAAATCCTA